GGATAGGATTATGCAAATAAGGTGTATGGAACCCTAGGACTGTGAAGTCAGTTTGAACTGCAAGGTCGGTGGTTCAAGCTCACTGTCTGGGCTCAAGGCCTGGCCCCATATATTAGCTGTGTGACTTTGGAGAAATTACTTAACTGCTCTGTGTCTCCATTTGCCTATCTGCAAAAGAGCCCTGGGTGTGGTGCTGCAGGTGAATGTGCTAAACTGCAAGGTCGGTTTGAACCACAATGTCGGTGGTTCAAATTCATCAGCCACTCCTCGGAAACCCTATACAGGGTCGCTATGAGTAGGAACTGACTGGACAACATTTAACAACAATAACAAGAAGGTGTAAAATGAGTTATCCCAGAGGTGGAAAAGCGTTCTCACTGCCACCTAGGAAAAAGAGGGAGGAATAAATCATGCCCTTTGGCCCCACAATTCCTTTGCTGAATCTCCTCAACCCAGGAATAAGAAAGCTAAGTTTCTTTAGACAGGAGGCTTATTGATGAAGTGGAGTGCCATCGGGAAATTGGTAGAGCTTACTGGCAAAGCATAGTGCTTCAAGACACTTAGTTGGCAGAGCTAAAATAGCTTTGTATCACTTGTCTAAGCAGAGAAGAAGCCAAAAGGCTGCAGAACCAAGAAAGGCCAATGGCCTGAAAGAGGCATGCCTGCAGGCTCCACTAATAAAAGTTGATAAATTGCATCCTGAGTAATTTCTGCTTCTTAATTAAAACCTGTTACTTCCCTAATAAACCTCATAATCATGAGTATTGTCGATGAGTTCTGTATGGCCAATGAAATGAATATTGAACCCAGCAGAGCAGCCGAGGGTGTCCAGGGATGTATGGTTGGTGTCAGAATTGGCATAGAGATTGAAAAGTGGAGGCATGTGTGACCTCTGCCTCACAGGAATCAGCCTTGGATGGCTAATGCTGATGATCTTGATTTTTTCTCCCTTGAATTAGAGGAGGTCAGAGTCCACCACACCATTTTTTACAACCACGCAGAAACTCCTGGATGGAAGTGGGAAAAAAAGTTATAAAGACAAGGGTAAAGAAAAAAAAGTGGAAAAAACACCCCACTGTGATCAAGTCAATTCAGACCCACAGCAATTGTATTAGACCAAGCAGAACTGACCGCATAGGATTTCCAGCCCTAGAAACCTTTATGAAGCAGACTGCTGCATCATTCTCCTGCACAGTGCTGGTGGCCTGAAACCACTGACCTTTTGGTTAGCAGCTGAGTGCTTTTATCCCTTCACTAACAGGGCTCCTGAATGGAAGTTAGGGGTTATAAAGACCAGGGTAAAGAAAAAGACCAAAAAATTTTGTCATGCAGTAAATTGCTTTAACTCCTGGAAAACAGTATTGTCCTAATATTTCATTTATTAATACTCTGAAATACCTTTTATAAGAGGTAAAGAGAATTTGAGAATAATGTGACCTTATGTGACCCTATGAGAGATGAACTGCAAGGTCGGGAGTTCAACCTCATCAGCTGCTCCTTTGAAACCCTATACAGGGGTCACTATGGGTCAGAATCGACTTGACGGCACTTAACAACAACAATAGCATATCCTGGTGTGGCACTGTACGCTAATGTGTCAGACTGCAAAGCTGTTTGAACTGCAAGGTCGGTGGTTCAAGCTCACGAGCTGCTCCTTGGAAACCCTATATAGGGTCGCTATGAGTCGGAGCCAACTTGATGGCACTTAACAACAACAGCGTAATTGTTTACAATGTTTACAACATTCAATTTGGTTTTTCTTCTCGTCTCAAAACATATATACTTGTGCCAACTTATCATTAATATTTTTTAACTATGGTGATTTATCTCACCTTCCAGTTTTCAACTATATTAAAATACGTTCTCAAGGACAGAAAACGCTGTTTCTAAGGTTCCTTCTCCATTAGTATGATGTCTGTCCTGGAAGACAGTGGCCTTCTCCTGAAGGGACTGAGCTCCTTTGACCTGCAGCTCCTATTAGGACACTGTGTAAATCCTGGACCTCAGCAGAGGATGGTGAGGCACACACCCACAGTGAGGGGAGGAACAGCTCCATCTAAAGCCCACCTTGAGGAGTTTCAGAACATCCTTCTTTCCCACTTCTAAAACATATGGGGAAAGACAGGAGAGATTTGATGGTCAGAAAACATTTAGTCTAGTAAGTCTGACTCACATATTTGACTTTTCTCCTTTGGTGCCTAGAAACATGAGCCAAGTCACTTTTCCCACACACGTCTGTAATTTTAAAATCCTGATTTATGATAATTCCACACTTCCCTATTGTACTAGCATTTAGATCTTGTTCAACTGGGGGATCCTGACAAAGTCAGAGAGATTAATGGGCTCTTCTTTTACATTATTATTCCTATTCTTTTCATGTTAAAGTTATTTTTTACACAAAGACAAATGTTCAGTGAGGTTAGAAAGAAAAAAATCTGGGTATTATTTTCTGTCTGACTAGAAATTAACTTCTGGTGTTTAGGACAGGTGAACTTATTTCTTGGAATTTCATTTTGGTTTCTTCAGTGCAGGGAATTATTTAACGTCTCTTCTAGGCAGAATGCAAAGTCGTTTAAACAGCAAGGTTGTTGGTTCAAGCTCACTAGCAGCTCCTTGGAAACCCCATACAGGGTTGCTATGGGTCGGAATCAACTCGATGGCACTTAACAACAACAATAACAACTAGCCATAGTCTTTGTAGTCTCCCACCAAACTTTTTGCTGATGAATCTGGATAAGAAAAGGTGGGGGAAGAAAGGTAAGAAATCATGGGTTATCTGATTCAGTTGTGTGATTATTAACAGTGCTAATTTGTGGCGCTGTGGGCTAATGCATCAGACTGCAAAGTCGTTTGAACTGAGAAGTCAGTGGTTCAAACTCACGAACTGCTCCTTGGAAACCCTATACAGGGTCGCAATCAACTCGATGGCACTTGACAATTACTACAACAGTTGTGACTGGTCAATTTTGCCATCCTCTTGGGTATAAAATGAGCCATCTCAAAAATAAAGGGGGCAGCTGTCACTGTTACCAAGGAACAGCCAGGAGTGGTGCACATAATTTGGCCCTGAGATCCCTGCACAGTGAGCCTCCTTGATGCAGGAACATTTGTAACATTGACTAAGCAGGGCAGTAGCCAGGCCAATGGGTCTTTACTAAAGAACTGCATCCTGAGCATTTTTGGTCCTGACATGTAGCTTGTTAACTTCCCTAATAAACCCCATGGCCGTGAGTATTGTGTCTGAGTCCTGTGTGGTCACTGTCATGGATTATGTGTAGAGATTGCTGTGGAAGGATGCTTGCTATCATTTTTTGCAGTTTCAAAAACTGTTTCTTTTCTAACAAAAAGTCCTTGTATTTTAAACTAGAATATTAACTAAAAATTATGATCACTGAAGAAAAAAACACACAAACTTATTGATTTGATTATGAAATTAGCTCTAAAGGGCTGAACCATGATTTTTTATAATGTCCCATTCTTTCATAGTGAAGTAGTCAATGAACAGCATCAATAACTTAGCATCGAAATCAACTTTTTCCTTTTTATCTTACTTCATTTAGCTTTCAATTCGACTTTTTCTTTATCTCGATACCAACTTTCAAAAGTGATACAGAAACACAAATATGGGGCCAGTCAGGTCAGGGAGGGGCTTACTGGTGATTACTGTCTGGCAGTTTAATCTGCTCAGGTTTTTGTCTGTAGTTATGAAAGGTATTCAAGAGCAAGTTCCATATAAGGAGCTGTTACAGTTTTCAGAAACCTAACAACATATAATTTTGTTGAATTTGCATTCAAATAAATGCTGGCTTAAAAAGATGTACCTGCTTGTTTCTATGACAATACGCATAGTGAGATAAAGCTCACACAGATGTGGTGGTAATTGTCACCCAGTTAGTGCTGTTATTTTTTTCCTTGAACAATTAATCACATTCTTCTCTGCTATCTATCATTCAACCATTTGATATGCCTCAGCAGACAAAACTATGTTACAAAAGTCTGAAAGATGTTTTGCTCATGATAAGAAACTAAAAGACTATTGTGTTGCTATTCTGGAGACAATTCTTATTGAATTTGCTAATTGGATAATTACTGTTCTTTTATAATTCAAAATAAAATACTTCACAGCTAAGTAAGGACAGGATTCTGTGGTTGCCTCCTAATTAGTATGCTTCAACATACTTAGTTCTTTTATATAAAAGTCATAATGCTATGCTGTGTCTTCATATATGATAACATATAATCTAGAAACATCCAAATCATTATAAATATATATCCTGAAGTTATTCATAATACATAAACTTGCTTTTAAATTTTTTATCTCTATAAATTAATCTTTATAAACACTAACGTCATTAAACTTCTTATAGGGTATTATGGCATTATACATTTTTAATAACAGATAGCCAAGTTACCATACAGAATTACAATAGTAATTAAGTTGCTAATGAATGCTAACCTCATATAAAGTGATTACTCCATATGTTTGAGTTGGTTCTCGCCATTGAAGAAATATCTTCTCTTCAAAGGTACTTCCTTGGATGGATTCAGCAGGAACAGCACCTGGGACTAAAAGGGGTGAAGGGATGAATGTTTGAGTAACAAACCAAAAAAATAAAAATAAAATAAAAATAAAGTAGATTTTTCTAGACTTAATAGGTTTTTAATATTTCATTGAAGGGAAATATTTCTTATAAACATGATATCCCGCATCAGAGAAAAAAGAAAATCCAAAAGCATTCCAGCTCTATTGTTGTTGTGCCATCAATTTGTTTCTGACCCATAGCGACCCTGTGTAGGGTTTCCAAGGAGCAGCAGGTGAGCTTGAACTGCTGATGTTGCAGTTCAAACCAACTTTGAGGTCCAGTGCATTAACCACAGCACCACACCAGGACTCCATAATGGGAACGGTGGTGGTGATGGCTATGTGTCTTGGAGTTGTTTCCCACTCAGTGACCCTGTATAGCATTTCTAAGGCTATATGTCTTTACCAGAGCAAAAAGCCTCATTTTTCTCACACAGAGCAGCTAGCGGAGTCAAACTCCTGACTTTGGATTAACAGCTCGACTTGTACATAACTCACTACACTACCAGAACTCCTTGATAATGAAAATAGGTCATTATATTTTCCTTAAAATTTAGATGGAGTTCAATATGATACTTTTTATTTTTCAAAAATTAAAGAAAAAGGATTTGAATTATAAGAATTTTCACATACTATTTAGTAGGAGTGCAAACTGGAAAAGCCACTTTGGAAAACAATCAGTAGTTTTTAATTAAGTTAAAGATGCAAATATCATAGGACCAAATAACTTCACCTTTATGTAGATTTCCTAGTAAATTTCTTGCATGTGTGCAACAAGAATTTTACTGTAGCATAATTTTTATATAATAGTAATTTGGAAACAAACCATAAAGTTTAATAAATTGTGTTACAGTAATTACTAAAATGACTGAATATAAATGATAGCTATATAAATCATAATAGGTGAATTTATTGTTAACAAATGATGAAAATGGAATAAGGAGCATGATGCCTCTGCATGATAAGCCCTGGGCTGCGATCCACAAGGTCAGTGGTTTGAGCCCACCAGTAGCTCTGTGGGAGAAAGATGAGGCTTTCTGTTCCCGCAAAGATGTACAGCTTCAGAAACCCCATATAGGGTTGCTGTGAGTTGGAACTGGCTCAATAGCACTTAACAACAACAATAACAATACAGATGAAATAACAATGTTTTCCATTTTAATGTATTTCATTATTAATACTATAATTACTAGTAAAATACATAGTAATAACTGGTTTAGGAAGCACAGTGGTTCTGTAGAATAAACGCTGGAATGCAAACCACAAGGATCAGCAGTTTGAACCCACCAGCTGCTCTGCAGGAGAAAGATGAGGCTTTCTGCTCCTGTAAAGATTTAAAGCCTCAGAAACCTTATCAGAGTTGCTGAGTTGGATCTGACTTGACAGTACTTATCAACAACAACAGGTTTAAGGGATTTTGATGCCAGTTTTACAAAACCTAAAATATAAAACATTCCTGATGAATTCTCAAGAAAATCAAGTTTATATTTAAAATTAATTTTTTGAATATTATTTACTTCATCTTTATCATTTTAAATTATGTTTCTAAGTAAGCTTTATATTATACAAAATTTAAGGTACTAGTACATCTACTCTACTTATAAGCTACTATGTTTACATTCCACCAATTGTCTTTCAGTTTGTTGTATGTGGTGGTTGCCTATTGCTTGAAACTATGTCACTGCTATTTCAAATACCAGCAAGGTCAACCAGGTTGGACAAGTTTCAGCAGAACTTCCAGACTAAGCCAGACTAGGAAGAAGGAACAAGCAGAAACATTTTGTAAAACCTTATGAAGGGTAGTAGAACACTGTCTGATATAGTGCTAGAAAATGAGCCCTTCAGGTTGGAAGGTACCCAAAATATGACTGGCAAAGAGCTGCCTCGACAAAGCATGTCGTTGTCGTATTCTTAAGTGCTATCGAGTCGGTTCCAACTTATAGCGAGTTTGTATAGGGTTTACGAGGAGTGGCTTATGGGTTTAAACAGCCAGCCTTGTGGTTACTAGTCCAGTGCTTACGCTACAGCACCAGTCTTCCTTGATTATTTGGATGGAGTAATGCTTTAGGAACCTTCGTTTGCTGATGTGTTGTGACTCAAAATAAGAAATAGCTACAAACATCTGTTAATAATCAGAAAATGGAATGTACTAAGTATGAATTGAAGTAAATCAGAAGTTGTCAGAAATGAAATGGCATGCATAAAGATCAACATTATAGGTATTAGTGAGCTGCGATGGACTAGTATTGGTCATTTTGAGTCAGACAATCATATTGTCTACTACAACAGGAATGATGAAGGGGAATAGCATCACATTAATCATCAAAAAGAGATTAAACCAGAAATAGAATATTGTCAGTGACAGGATAGTATCTATGTACCTACAAAGAAGACCAGTTAGCTGACTATTATTTGAAGTGATACACAACTACTATGCCAAAGATGAAGAAATTGAAAAGTTTTACAACTTCTGTAGTCTCAAACTGATAAAACACGCAGTCAAAATACATTAATAATTTGTTGTTGTTTAGTGCCACCGATTCCGCTGTGATTCACAGAGACCCTAAAACAAAAAACAACCCTGCCTGGTTTATGCCATCCTCACAATTGTTGTTATGCTTTAGCCCATTGCTGCTGCCGCTGTGCCAACCCATCTCCTTGGGTGACCTCCACTTTACCAAGCATGAAGTAATTCTTCAAGGATATTAGTAATTATTGACGATTAGTAAGCGAAAGTTGTAAAATGAAAAGATTTGGTAATGGAAAGTATGATAGATACAATACTGGTGATCACATGATAGACTTTTGCAAGACCAAAAACTTATTCATTTTAAATACCTTTACTTAACAATGTAAACAGTGCCTACACATGTGGCAGGGAAATGCCAGAGGTGCAAGGTGGATCCAGACAAGGACGTGGAATGAGATATCATTGTTGACATCAGATGGATCGTGGCTGAAAGCAGAGAATACCAAAAAGATGTTTACCTGTGCTTTACTGACTATGCAAAGGCTTTTGACAATGTGGATCCTGACAAGCTATGGACCACATTATGGAGAATGAGTATTCCAGAACAGTTCATTGTGCTCATAAGGAATCTGTGCATGGACCAAGAGATAGTCGTTCAAACAGAACAAGGGACCACTTGTTTAAAATCAGGAAAGGTGTGCTCCAGGGTTATATTCTTTCATTATACTTATTCATTCTGTATGCTGAACAAATAATCTGAGCAACTAGATCATATGAATAAGAATGCGGTATCAGGATTGGAGGAAGATTCATTAACAACCTTGCTGAAAATGAAGAGGACTTAAAATATTAACTGATGAAGATCAAAGACCACAGCCTTTGGTATGGGTTGCTCCTCAATGTAAAGAAAACACAGATCCCTCACCACTGGACCAATAAACAGCATCATGATAAATGAAGAAAAGATTGAAGCTTTCAAAAGACGTTGTTTTGCTTGGATCCACAATCATGGAAGTAAGTAGCAGTCAAGAAATCTAATGACATATTGCATTAGGTAAATCTGTTGCACAAGACCTCTTAAAAGTGTTCAAGAGCAAACATGCCTTTTTGAGGACTAAAATGTGCGTAACCCATGCAACGGTATGCATCTAAAAGTTGGAAAGTGAATAAGGAAAACGATAGAAGATTTTATACATTTGAGTTATGGAATTGGAGAAGAATATTGAAAGTACCACGGACTACTAGAAGAACAAACTAATCTGTGTTGGAAGAAATACAAAAAAAAAAAA